CATCAACATCATCATCAGCATCATCATCAGCAACATCATAGCAATCATCACCACCACAATCATCACCACCACCACCATCATCATCACCACCATCATCATTACCATCACCATCATGGCCATCATCATCCTCAAGTGACTAAGGATAACGTCTCCCCGTCGCACTCCAAAGCCGGTCGAATAGGCGGGCCAGGCGTTTCGCCTAAGACTTCCTCGTAACTGGAGGGCAGTCCGCTTTCAAAATATGGCTCTCGGCTTAGCGCCGCGCACGTTCGTGACACAAATGCAAATCAGCTTCAAGGATGGAGGGCGGACCGCTGTCAAAATGTGGTTCACGCCTTGGCGCCGCGCACATTCCTCTTAAAACATTGCAAGGGCTTCACGGATGTAGGGCGGCTCCTTTTCAACATGTGGCTCTCGCAGTAGTGCCGCGTACACTCGTCTTAAGAAGCCTGGCAAGGGACCCAACTATATGAAGATGTGAATACCGCATTTGTGAATATCGTCTTCGGTGGAGCTCCCGATGGGGCCAAGAAACGTGCGAGAGGGGCGCCGAAATGAGTCGCGCGGACGCATGCGAACCCTGCGACACGGGGCCTTCGGTGGAACTCCCCATGGGGCCACGAAACGTGTGAGAGGTGTGCCGAAATGGGTCGCGCGGACGCCTGCGAACCCTGCCGCTGGGGCCTTCGGTGGAGCTCCCCATGGGGCCACGAAACTTGTGGTGTGTGTGTGTGTGTGCGTGTGATTGTGTGTGCCGAAGTGGGCCGCGTGGACGCATGCGATGGGGCCACGAAGCTTGTGAGGGGTGTGCCGAAATGGATCGCGCGGACGCATGCGCACCGTGCCACTGGGGCCTTCGGCGGAGCTCCGTTGGGGGCAACGAAACGTGTGAGGGGTGTGCCGAGATGGGTCGGGAGACATGTAAACCCGGCCTCTGGGGCCTTCAATGCAGCTGCCTATGGGGCCATGGAGCGTACGAGGGGTGTGCCGAAATTCGTCGCATGTAACCCCTGCCACTGGGGCCTTCGGTGGAGCTCCCTATGGGGCCACGACACGTGTGGGGGGGGGGGAGGGGGGCGAAATGACTGGCACGCGCAGGGCAGAAGCAGGGATGGGAGGAGGGATGAGCGGGACGAGGAGGAGCAGGAGGAGGCGGGATGGAAGGACGCCGGGCGTTATCTCTTCAAACCGATCGCCCAACACCACAGGATAAGTTAGGGCATTATCCTGGCGAAGGACCCAGCCATATGCAATCGTCAGTACCGCAAGGCATGCGGGACGAAGGAGGGGAAACTCCTTGTGGGGCTACGGGACGAGTGAGGTGTAGGCCAACATGAGCGGGGGGAGCATGTGGACATCAACGCGAGGCCTTCGGTGCAGCTCCCCAAGGATAAGCCACGAAACGCGCGAGGGGAGTAGGTCGGGGGAGACGCATGTGGTCACAGCCACTGGGGCCTTCGGTGGGGCTCCCTATGGGGCCACGAAGCGCTGTACTGGGTGGCGCGGGCGTCTGTGGTCACAGCCACGGAGCCTTCGGTCGAGCCCCCTATGAGGCCACCAAGCTCTGTACTGGGCGGCGCGGACGCACGTGGTCACAGCCACTGAGGCCGTCGGTGGGGCTCCCTATGGGGCCACAAAACGCTGTACTGGGTGGCGCTGGCGCCTGTGGTCGCATCCACTAAGGTCTTTGGTGAAGCCCACTATGGCGCCACGATGCGCGGTACTGGGTGGCGCGAACGCATATGGACACAGCCATTGTGGCCGTCGGTGGAGCACCCTGTGGGGCCACGAGCAGCTCTACTGCGAGGCGCGGACGCATGTGGTCACAGCCACTGGGGCCGTCGGTGGGGCTCCTTGTGGGACTACGAGCAGCATTACTGTGTGGAGCGGACGCACGAAGTCACAGCCACTCGGGCCTTCGGTGGAGCTCCCTATAAAGCCAAGAGCAGCTGTACTGGGTGGCGCGGACGCATGTGGCCACAGCCACTGGGGCCTTCGGCAGAGCTCCCTATGGGGCCACGAAAGGTGTGGCGATGTTGGCGATGATCGCCAGGTGTATGACGATGATAACGGTGATGAGGACATGCGGAGGGCAGAGGTTGGGACTGGGAGGAGGGACGAGGGGGAGGAGGAGAAGAGAACGGGGCGCTGTCGCCTCACAGCGAAGACCCAACACCTCAGGACTGTTGGGCAGCATGCCAAAGCTTCGCGGATGGAGAGCGGCTCCTTTCCAAAATGCGGTTTTCGCCGTAGCGCCGCGCATGTTCGTCTTCAGAGTTTGCAGCAGTTTCAAGAATTATCAGGGCTACCGTCCCAGAAAAGGGTGCTTGGGCAAGATGTAGGAATATCAGGGCGCAACAATCACGTTGACTCGCGGTGTTGCAACCCCAGGACTTGTGTTCTGGCCGATTCAAGATCGTCAAGGCGCATCAATAGTGGTGATTCGCGGCATTGAAGTCCCAGGAATGGAGTTCTGGCGTAGTTCTGGATGTTCAAACGGCTGTCCTCCAACGGGGCCCTTCCCCCAGTGACCACGAACCCTTGTAGGGGCACCTGAAGAGGGAACTTGGAGGGAGGATGTACTGCAATATCGTGGACGGGTCTTGGATCTACACTGGTCCTCACCCTCATCCTCACCCTCATCCGAACCACCACCACGACCACCACCATCACTCTCACGACCCACAGAAAAGGAACTCATGAGCACCTCGTCCGTGTAGCCTCCGCGTGCTATCACGGAGACCGGAGACCGCGTGGCTGCGTCGGGCAGCCGCCGCGCAACGCAGTCGCCGAATGCGGTGTCGGTGAGAGCCACGGCCGCGAATCTCGCCGCAGTGCTTTCCAGGGGCACGCACGGGCGACAAGGCGCTGACGCGCCCAGCCTGCTCCCGCTGTGAGATCCTGACGTCGCAGGATCTGCACACCAAGAATGTTCGCCTGGACTCGGGCATCGAAGCCCTTGCAGATCGATCGGCCTGGCTCGAGACATGCTGCGCAAAGGTGGGGCCTATAAGCCGAAGCCAGGACGAGGACACACTCGGGCGAGGATAAAGCGAGAATCTCTGAGATCCGGCGGCTCTGGAGCATGTTTCGGGCGCCGCGGCCTTCTCACAGCGTTCCAGAACGCCCTGAAAGCATTCCGGAATGCACTGTAACGGTTTATCCTCGTCTAGCCCCGTCCGGGTCTAGGGATCCAGCCGTGATTTTTCATGGTGTTGCAACTTTTTCGCGACGTCGGATCTCGAGCCGAGTGGCGTCACAAAACAGGGCACGCGGCCGAGAGACAGCCTCTGGGCCCTTCAACTTCGGTTGCACGTCGCTCGCTTCCGATGGTGCAGTAGCCGCTATGCTTTCCCCAGGCATGTCCAGGCCCCGGGGTGGTTGCGAGATATCAGGGAAAAGGCAATCCGAAGTGTGAGCAATCCCTTCCCACAACAAGGAGCGTCACGTGCAGGAGTGTCGTATCAGCGATGTGTGCATTCGAAAAAGAACGAACATGTGAACACGATGTTGCACTCATGCCAAGACAGGTATGGACGACGTGATCAGCATGGGCCATCCCTTCAGCCGACACTCGCCCCATCAAGTCGAACGAAGGTCCAGCAATTCCAAACAGCTTACTCTTATAGCTGACTCGCCTGCTGATGCTCGCAGACTCGCACCAGCTCGCCAAAAACCACACCGAAATTATGCAAACTCTTTCAACTCACACTGAAATCCAGAAGTGTCGAACGGGAGATCTGCTCGGTAGCTCACCCCAGCAGATCGACCGAATATGATGCCGATCGGCGACGCCTCTTATGGGACGACGGTGCTCGATATATTCAGCGGTTCTGGCAATCGGTTCTTGCGATCTACCTGCCAACACCTGATTCGCTGCGGCCGCCCCAGGAAAACATTATTATCGAAGCAAGGACCAGCAGGGCGAATAGTTAATGACGAGGCGAGGCGGTAGCACCAGAAGTGAGAAAAGAAATGATGATGTTGTTCACGATGGTGATGATGAGTATGAGCATGCTGATGATGACGGCGACAATGGTGACGATGATGACGATTATGATGCTGATGTTGTTGTTGATGATGGGACTCGCCTCTCTACTGTCAAGTGCGAACGAACGCCGCACATTTCGCAAACCCGCTGGCCACCTCAGCCCTCCTCCAGCGTCGGCGGCGGCAGCGGCGCAATGGCGCCGAGGATGGCCTCAACCTCCGCGGCCACCGCGGCAACGCTGATGGCACCTAGCGGGGCGGGGCCAAGAGGCCTCGTGCCACCCACGCGTTGTTGGCCGCGTCATGTCGACCTGGCGCAGGATGGCCAGGGCATCCTCTTCCAGCCGGCCCCCGATGTCAACTGCAAAGGCGTCGACGCGATCTCCTTACCGCTGGCGCTTGGACCGCTCCGCGGCGAGCGTCGCCAGATGCACATCCGCAGCTGCAGCTTGAGCACCACCGTCAGGGTAAGGAGTGCACCGTGAAGTCAAACCACGCCCTCGTCACGCCAGCGGGCCACCTCCAGTCGACGTCCAGAATCGCCTCCATCACGCCGGTGTCGGAGTCCGTCCTGTAGAACTCCGGGACGTGGGCCTCGACGTGAACGACAGCTCCGGCTTTGCGGAAGAAAATGGCGACCGCGAGCTTGAGGTTGTTATGCCACCGTGCACGGAAAGGGCCAATCATGCAACAGACCGCGTGCAGACCGCCGATATCCAGCTGCCACCCGCACGGCTATGCACGCCTGGGGCCACCACAATAGCACGCGCCTGGCCAGGCTCCAAGACGGGTGCCCCCAGGCGCCTCCTCGCGGCCGGCAACCGACGACGGTTGCCGATCCACGTTATCGAGGGCGCTGTCGCCGCTGACCACCAGCGGCCAGCGCCCTGCCGCCTCTCTCCAGCAGTTTGGCGGCGCGCTCCAGAGGCAGCGCGGCAACGAATTCGGCGGCCCGAAGCGCCGCCAACCCACTGCCCAAACTCCCCGCGAGTCGTCGCCTGCCCCCGCACCTCTCCACGTCCCCGACGTCGGCCCCCGGGACGAAAGTAGCGAGGGCGGAGCGGTCAGGATCCAGAGCCTGCGCTTGCGCACCCTCTGCGTCGCGCGCGGAGGTGAAGAGCTCCTGCGGGGGCAGGTCACCAACCCAAGGCGACGCCGCGCACCTGGCCGCCGCACCTGGCTCCAGCTCGATCCGGGCAGCGTCCACCACGGCGCGGCGAGGACGCCCTTGGCCTCGCACGTGGTCCGCCTGTCGGGGTCCTTCTGGTACGGCAGCCCGGCCTGCAAGGCCGCCGCGGTCGCAACCCAGCTACACCAGAACCCGGCCGCGGAGTCGGCGACGAGCGGCATGGTCAGAGCCAAGCCCCCGAAGAAGATGGGCTGCGCGAGCTGCGCCGTCATCCCCGCCGTGAGCGTCGTGCCAAGGATGGCCGCAGCAGCGCTCGCGATCTAGGCGCAGAACCCCTCCAATACCTCTCCTGGACTGGTAGCGCTCGCGAGGGGCACCTACGAATATCATGATCCAGAATGATGATAAGGATGATGATAATAATAATGATAATGATAATGATGATGCTGATGATGATGATAGTGATGATGATTCTAAGTATGATGAGTGTGACGATGGTGAGTATGATGCTGGTGGCGATTGCGATGATGATGATGATGATGATGATGGTGATGATGATGATGATGAAGAAGCTGATGATGATGACGATGACGATGATGATGATGATGACAATGATGATGAGGATGATGATGAGGATGATGGTGTTGAGGATGATGGTGATTTCTTTTTGTTCCATTTGCAGGTAACGCCTCGGAAAGCCATTTGAACGCGTCAAGTCCAGGCACAGCACAGGAAGTCCCATTGCAATGGTGATGATGATGATGAGAATGAAGGTGGTGATGATGGTGGTAGTCACGATGATGCTGATGCTGATGCTGATGCTGATGACGACGACGACGATGATGAGAAGTTTAATGATACTGATAATGCTAATGATAAAGACGATTATGCTAATGATAATCATAATGATAATCATGATGATGATCATGATGATCATGATGATGATGCTGATACTGATTATGATGATGTCGTGTTTTCCTTGCTCCATTTGCAGGCTAGCGCCTCGGAGAGACATTTGAACGCGCAAAGTCCTTGGCACAATCTCACAGGAAGCCCCCATTGCAAGTCGGCCGCTCACGCGTGCTGCCGAAATTACAAGAAGATGTGTCTCAATAACCAAGGACCGAACTGGTGCGTTACCAATGCCATACTTCTCAAACTAAGCGAATTCAATTCACTGGAGGGGGAAAAACGACTTAATCGGTCTTACCGCTATCATTTTCAAACACAATTGGAATATTGCCTACTACCTTGTTCTCGCTCCTTGCCGGAATCAATGCGTGTGCTGCCCCCACTGGGACGTCAACCGACGCACTTTTCGCCTGTACTTGTGCCCGGCGGTCTATGCCCCTGGGGGGGGCTGCCGTGAGAGTGAGGCGCAGCGTCCTGCAGGCCTTGCCGACCATGATCTTCTGGGTCAACTCTTCTACTGTGCCGGCCCAGCCATTAACTTTTACGATCCTGTCGTGCCTCCTCACCTGCTTGTCCCAGTTTGCGTCGTTCCAGGCCTGTACGGCACCCTTGCCCACCAGGTGCGACACCATCAAGCTTCTGGAGTTCTGCGCCTGCTTCGTATCGATCCCCAACCCATCAGGATTCTTCTCGACTTCGATGGTGTAGGTGGCAGGACGATGGAGTTCTATCTCGAGCTCCTGAGATCTCTGCATCTGCTGCAAGATGCCCGACGAGTTGCCACGGACGCCGTTGACCGCGACGATGTGGTCGCCACGCGTCACCTGTTCCATGGAGTGGCCCTTGTTCCACTTGGCGAAGGACCCCCACACCTCGATCTGTGTCAGCCTGACGGAGTACCCGTCTGTTGCGTCGAGCTCTATTCCGAGCGGGACGCCCTCCTCCCTGCTGATGTGGATTGTGAAGCTCTCTATGCCGGGGCTGTCACACGTGTCTTTGCAAGCGTGGCCCATTGGTTCTGGGAAAAGCCTCCTTGAGCCAAAATGGCTTGAGCCTAAATGGCTACGACATGTTATACGTGATAGAGAAGCGGCCACTACAATAACTAGTCCATCTCACCCTGGCCCCGCCACCTCCCCCATAGACAATGCTCTCGCCCTGGGTCTATCTCTGATGGTCCTGGACGCCAGGAATGGCCTCCAGAGTCCGAAGTCAGGAATACACCCGGACTGACAAAGTCCGTCCTTCGGAAATCCCCGAAGGGTGCAAACGCCGCCAGTATCTCCCAGCCTAGTGTTAAGTCGGGCCTGTCCCCCCACAGGGGGATTTTCGATGCAAAATGAAAAATACCCCAACAATAAATCCAAAAATAATCCAACAATAATATGGGATCTAGTTTTGGGGTATTTTTTACCTTTTTGGTGCATTTTTGGTGTATTTTTTCGTCGAAAATCCCCCTGTAGGGGACACGCCCAACTTAAGCCTAGTGCTGACAGTCTCCCCGCTCGAGACGACTCCTCGCTGCAGGCCTTCGCAGGGCCCAGGCCAAGATCATGACCGTCGCGCACCGTGGGCCCCCGAAGGTCTTGACCCCACCCCGCGCGGACCCCTTCTTCTGTGGCGTCCCTCTGGCCGGCTCGATCTGCGAGGGCACTGATGGCTTAACCCCGTGCGAGAACGCCGGGTGGAGGAGGAGGAGGAGGAGGAGGAGGAGGAGGAGGAGGAGGAGGGAGGAAGGAGGAGGAGGAGGAGGGAGGAAGGAGGAGGAGGAGGAGGAGGGAGGAGGAGGGAGGAGGAGGAGGGAGGAAGGAGGAGGAAAGGGCAACGCCGGGGTGTGGAACTGGTGCGCGGAGGGGCGGGACGCCGGCCGAGCCACGACATGCTCGCAGCACCCGACTTCCTGGAAGCCGACGCCCGGGGGCCGTTGGACTACCAGGTCACCCCAACCCAACCCGAAGACCCGAATTTGGGGTTGGGGGGGTATGGGCTCCATATGTTTTTCATATGTCGTCTTTCGATATTTCTGGACCCGAAGTATGGGGTCCATATGTTTTTCATGTGTTGTCTTTCGATGTTCCGGGACCCACCCCCACTGGAGATGGAAGTCAAATGGAGGCCTTCGGGTTGGGTTGGGGTGGTTTGGTGGGTGGTGACCGTTGGAGGGGCGGTGGGCAATTATGGACAAATTTAAGGTCGGGCATGTCCTCCTACAGAGGGTTTTTAGACGAAGCATTTAAAAATATGGTCAACACGTACCCAAAAGATGCCGACGCCCGGGAGCCGTTGGAGGGGCGGTGGGCAATTATGGACAAACTTAAGGTCGGGCATGTCCTCCTGCACAGGGCTTTTGGACGAAAAAACTTAGAATATTGTCAATACATGCCCAAAAGATGGTCAAACATACGAAAAAAAGTCCCCCGACTATTTGTTTACAATATTCGAATCTGCCTCCTGTAGGGGGAAGTGTCCGACTCAAGGCAAATTTTGGGCCCGGGGGGTCCGAGTAGATCCGAATCAACCGCCTACCGAGGTCCCCGAAGATCGATCCCCCAAGCGGTGGTTGTGGATACCCCCCCGCTTCGGACAAATCCCCACCATCGTAGCGCGCGGAAGGTCCCCAGATATCCGCCGACATAATGTGCTCGGTGCTCGGCCCTCCAAAAGAAAACACTGGTCCCGGGCTTGTGCTTTTCGCCCCGGGCCCGTACCGGGTCCGGAAACGGGCCCGCGGAAAGCCGAGACGAAGGAAAAACGCCTGGATTGCGCAAATCAGACCGTCGAGGGTCTGGACCGAGAGACCGCGACCTTCCAAGACGGGCCAGAACGGACCCAACAGAGAGCCTCAGGAGTCTGCCTTTTTATTCGCGACAACGGGCGTGATCGGGAGAGGGGCGGGGGGGGAGATCGGCGGTGGACAAACCTCTCTTTAGCAAACTACCCTTCAATGAAAGCGGCCTGGGACCGAAATCGACGGACCTGGACCCGCAAAAATGACGGCCGCGACGCCCTCTCGCGAACCGAAGACGGCCAATCCGCTACTCGACGCGTCAGGGTGGGAGGTCCACCCACCTCCGAGGAGGTCGCCCCCCCCCCCCCCCCCCCCCGAATCGCATCACGGCGGGGGGCCGCCAGAAACCTTAAGACGCGGCGGGGGGGCCCCCCGACAGGCCTCGGAAAAAAAATAGCGAACACTCGTGCCACATTCATCTGTGAACGCCTCCCCCTCCCCCCAATGTTCAAAGTTGGCGGTGGGTCTGATGAGTTGCACCTCGACCACAGCCTCCCCCGCGCGTGCCAACCTTGAGTTTGGGGGGCAGGGGGGGTGTTCACTAATTGTTTCCCTCTACCGGATCACATCACGGCGGGGGGCCCTCCCGATCACACCACGACGGGGGGCCAGCCCGCGGCGCGCTCGCACGGCGGCGGTTGGTCGCAGCGCGCGGCGCGTCGGCCAGGCCAGAAGGTCTGTCAGATGCCCAGAGGCGGGCCGAGGGCACACGTCCCTCCTCCTCCTCCTCCTCCTCCTCCTCCTCCTCCTCGTCCTCGTCTTCCTCCTCCTCCTCCTCCTCCACCTCCTCCTCCTCCTCGTCCTCGTCCTCGTCCTCGTCCTCGTCCTTCTCCTCCTCCTCCTCCTCCTCCTCCTCCTCCTCTTCCTCCTCCTCCTCCTCCTCCTCCTCCTCTTCCTCCTCCTCCTCCTCCTCCTGCTCCTGCTCCTCCTCCTCCTGCCCTCCCTCCGCGCAGGGCGCCGGCGCGCGCGCGCGCCTAACGGCGGGGTTTGGTGGCTCACACCCCGCGGCCGCGTCCTCGCCCAATGTGCTCTCGCCGTGCGTTGTGCGCAGCGGTGGTTTCCCGCTTCGTCCTCGTCCCCAAACATGACCGCGTCGTTAAAAAAGCAGGACGGGAGGTTTTCGGCTATTTTCGGCCTCGGGGGGCCCTCGCCGGGCCTCGGGACCGTCAAAAAACGACTCCAGGACGACAAACCGGCCCCGGGGGAAGGGTCGGGACTTCCGGGGACGCCGTCCCGAAAAAATCAAGACCTCGCATGTCTGGGTCCCCCTCCTCCGCCTCTTCTTCCTCTCGGCAGCGCGGCGTCTTCGCCTGGCACGCGCCCGCCCGCGAAGGCGGCCCGGCGCGGCCAGCTGAGGCCTTTGTTTGTTCCCCTTCGGTCCGGGTCAGGGACTGCGACTGCGGCCCGCAGGGCTGGAGGGGGTTTCAAGGGCCAGGACGCTCCGCTGTGATTCCGCGGATGTCGGGGAAGCGGAAACCTTAGGCTTTCGGGGGTGACACGTGTCGCCCGTTCTTTCCTGCGAAGCTAAGCTCTTGAATCGCTGTACGTTGGCCCCCAGGCTCCCAACTTCACGATTTTTTTCGGGTTGGACATCCTATCATAATCCGTAGATCATCTTTG